AATTCTGTGGAGGGGATCTGACCTGTACTGTGCCTCACACCATCTCAGTTAAGGTCTCTGCTTGCACATAATAACACATGTAATTATTACCAAAGGCCCTTTACAACTCCCGGAACAGATACAGGCTTACTAAAAGTACAGTTAACTGACACTGGCTATAGTATTCTGCTGTAACATCACATACAGAAAGAAAATGGACTTACTGAAAATGACGTGTTATTGCTCTAAATTTTCGTTTTGATTAACACTGTTTTGACCAAAAAGTAGCACTGTTACCTCACACTCCCCTAGGAAACCAAACTCACATTTTCCCCGGAACCACAAAAAAGTAAGACCCATAGGGCTCTTTAGATCCCATCCCTCTTCTTCCCTCACTTAAGGAGTTGAAGAAAGTACCATTCTCAAATATGAACTCTGGTAGAGATGACCAGCTTTTCTGATCACACCAGCCATTTGTCCAAACCTTCCTAGGTCTGAGAGCCACAGGAAACAAAGCAGGATGCAGAGAAACAAGGGAGCTCTAGGAACCATTTACTTGCAGATGACAACAATACTTCTCTAGAAAGAGAGGGAGGACGATGAGTTTGGAATGGACATTCCATGGGGTCCTGAGATGACACAGCAGTGTTGGTCTCAGGTTGATGTTGGCGCATTTTCTCCCAAAGCTAAGGATTCAGATTATCCAGGAGTCTCCTGCCTGAGCACAGCCCTCATCCCTGGCAAGGACACTTGCCCTTGCACTTGAAATATTTCTGAGTCCATGCCACTTGTCTGAGTATTTAGGTGACAGCATGGGAAACTTGCACTTCATGAGAGACAATTTAACTCAAAAGAACAGCATAACTTACAACTTATCCAAATTTCAAAAGTGATTTCATGATGTGTGCAACAAAACCAGCAAAGAGCTCTGACAGTGACTGACTTATGCAAAACTGAGGAAAAAATACTTTACTGCAGATAAGAACTGGAAAGCAATCTTTGGTAGTCATAACACAGGTTATTTTTAAATCTGTTTTCTTTTCAATGCAATGGATATAGCTCTATTGTTGACAAATACCATTTAATACACTGGCCTTAGGTATTATAAGCTGGAAAATAAATTGACAGTAGCAAAACAGTAGAACTGCAATAAGGATAGGACAGTGGAATGAAATAAACTTCTTTTTCCTTACAAATTACAATTTAGGCAAGAAAAAATGAAAAATCTTAGTGAGCTAGGCATAAGCAAAAAAATTGATCTTTTTTTCAAGCTCATCTGTGGGTGCAGCAACAACTGTAGACTGCATCAAAGACAAAATGCAAACCAGCAGCCAAAGATTTCATTTTTTAATTTGCCACCAAATCTCCAGGAACCACTTTTTATAAAGAACAGGTTTTTAACATGTCTATTAATTATCTTCTCTTTACCACTTGTTTGTCTTGCATGAAAAGCACAATACTACTCTTTTAGCAGTTTCAGCAATTGAATGTGACTGAACTTCAGATTCAACCAAGCTGCATACCAGGGACAACATTCTCCTTGACAGAATGGTACTGAACATTTGGTTCTTCATCATCTATCAAATTGCCTGATGAATGGGCTTAAAGATCATTAAAGTGAACATAAAAAAAAATAAATCATAATTCAGTAACTGACACTATCAAATTAAGCACTAATTAATCACATGGATAAAGACATTTAAATATGTTCTTACTTTCTGAGCATCCCCTTAGTTTTTATCTCTATTTATCCATGCATGTCATAGAAGCAGAATCAGTATAATTAGAAACAGCATCAAAAACCTTAGTAAGATCTGTCTGGTTTGCTTTTGCTGAGAGGAACAGCAGTACAGATTTCTGAAAGAATTTTTTTTCACAGAATCTTCCTGGTTGGAAAAGACCTTGAAGATCATCAAGTCCAACCAGTTTTTCTGATGGGTTAGAGGACATTCATATAATGAGCTTCATAGGTCATCATGGAAGAGTACACAAAGAATGCTATACTTTTTTTTTTTTGCTTTCTTCAATTTCTTTATGACTTTTATTAATCTTGACTGCTGATATGTGTAGCAATATTGCAATTATTCTCCGTACCACTGTACTGCAAGCTCCTCACAAAATGTGTGAAAAAATGTGTTACATATTCACACTAGGTCATGGCTCTTCTGGCTAATAGTACTAAAAGAATATGCAAGTGTGAGTTTGCAGACTTTTCAGATCTCAAACTTTTGACATAAAATCAGTTTTGAGATTCTGCAGGTGGATCTCTTCACAGAAAGAATGAAAAATTACATTTGCAGCAAACTAATTCTAATCCTCAGCATTCTGGCAATCTACATCCCTGGAGCTACTTTAGAACAAGTGTCTTCCTTTTTGCCTTCCTAAACTCATACATTTGTTTAATTTGAGCAATGTTTCCTGTCAATAATTCTTCTAGAAGCTCTGGAGTTAAAACACGATGGATTATCACGGCACTGTATTACTTTGGGAAATCACAGCAAATGTACATACTATCTTTGAACACAACATTTAGTGATGTAGTGACCAGAGTTGCTAGGTCTTTCAAGAGATAATATTACATTCACTTTACAACAACAGGAAATTAACGGGCATAAGCCTTACTAGGGATCACGGAGTCCCATAATAAGGGCTGGCAACCGTGCTCTCACCGTGGCCAAGGAGGGTAACCTTGAGGCAATCGGTCCCGTGTACTGCACCCAGTAGAGGTCACTAGAGGATGCCTCATGTTTTAATGGTAAGAACAAGCACTCCGACCGCAAGCAGAGAGATGCACCTTCCTGGCAACCATATCATCAACAGTCTAGCATTTACTGCCAGGTAGGCTCTCATTAAGGAGAAGAGCATGTGCCACTCCATGAACAAACGGGAGCAGCATTCATCCCATTAAGCAATATTGACACTGATCAGTGAAATACATCTATCTAATTTATTAAAAGTATATCTACTACCTGTGCATTTCCAGATGCAGGGATCTCTTTCTTTCTTCCACAGCTTAACACAGTCCACAAGGCGTGCCAGAGATATGACACCAAAAGGCAGAAACTACCTGCAATCCAGGAAGCATTTCTTTGCAGGGGTAGATCCATCCCTTTATTTTTAATCAACTGATTAACTTGGTTCTCTTACTCTAGCAGATGAAATTTGGCAGCCACCCTCAAAAGCCTCCCCAGTTCTCTAAGTACCACCTAGCTAGACAAGGCTTGGACACGCAGGAGGATCCCGTCTCATACTTCAACACATTCCCTGAACCTATAAGGAAAAGAAGTGATGGCCTACTGACAGGCATGAAACAGGTGCAGGGATCTACACTCGATGTGTATTGCAGGGACTGGAAAGGCCAGAACTTCTCAAACAAAGCAAACTGTTCACACAGTCCCTTTGCAGTTAGCAGTTCAGGCCACTGGTAAGCTTTTTTTTCCCCTTTGAATAGGCAAGAAATGGGGAAAAATCACTCAAAGAGCAAAATTCAAGAAAATCACTTTAAATGTGTCATGGTGCTCATGCACAGGAAGGTCACTTTGAAATGCCATGGGTTTAATGTCTGCAGCCCCTTCCGTACCTGTGCTTGCAGACTGTCTACATTGCTCATGTAACCAAACCACTGCCATGGACAAAGTGGATCCTAGCTGTCTCCCTATCTCATAGCCAGCATCTGCACACCTGACAACCATCAAGGGCTTGATCCTAAGCACAGAGATGCCTGATCATTTCAACCACATGCATGTAAGACTTTCAGTACCATCAAGTTAATTCCTTTCCCTCAAAATTTCCAGGACCAGACAGACTGCTTCTGCTGAATTTTCCCAAGCATTTCAATGTGATGTAAATCCTGCATGGAAAATTTTGGCTTAAGCTGACAAAATGTAGGCATTTTCTGAAGAACTGAAAACAGAATCTTAAAAATTGAAATGGTAACCAACTTTAATTTAAAAAAAGTCCCTACCAGCTTCCTTATAAGCTTATTGAAGCTGTTTTACTTCAAGAAATAGAAAACTAAAAAACTGAGGAACAAAGCATGCCATGGTTTATTTTCATATATAAGGATATGAGGATATATGTAAGGATTGTGAAGGACCCTTATCCAAGGTCTTAGGTCTATATGAAGGAATCCTTATATATAAGGATTATGCATCTTCTGTGCAACAGGTATCCATCATTACAGAGCACTAACAGTCATTGTGGAAGAAGTCTGTGATGAAACAGTAAAAAGAAAGTGTATCATTTCTTCTCTGCTTATGTATTTATCTGATCAGAGGTGAATAAGCAAAGAGTTTAAAACACTCCTCCTGGCTGTGGAGAAATTTCAAGTACTAAAAATCCACAAATGAAAATCATTACAATATTTGTAAAAAAGTCAGTTTACAATATTTTGTAAAAAAGATTAAAAAAATTCTAATGACTGTTGTCCTTTACTTAGCCAACTTCTGGCTTTGAGACTTCAGAGCACTCGCAAGTCACATTTTGAGTTATTTTGTAGATGCTATGTTAGGGAAGGTGGCTTTAGTTGTGGGTTCTTTTCAGTTGGCAAACCTTGATACTCCTCTCTTTCTTTCTGAAAGAGATATGTATACTCACAAGTGTGTGAACTACGAGCATTACGTAAAACAAAGCTGCATGAAATCCTGGAATCACATGCACTGCCACACAACAAGAGAGTGCCGTGAACTTGGGACCTGAAGAGTGCACCTTACAAGTATATTCTGTAAAGCTGCGCCAGACTGAGGTTAGCAAAACAATGCCTGATTACAACATTTCAAGCAAGCTGAAAACACTGGACCCAAACTTGGCTGAAGTCAACTTACACTTTTCTGACCATATGGAACTAAGCTATAGACTTGGTGCTTTGATTTCAAGGCTGAAGAAAGCCTTGAGGGTTTTGAGCTCTCTTGCATTAGTTAAGAAGTCTCACTGCAAATGTACAGAACCCCTTGCAGGATTTTGTTACAGTCATTCTGGCCTCCCTTGGAAAAAGGGGATAGTGCAAAGATATTGTTACCACCATGGTCATTTCCAAGACAGAGGAGGCTGCAGGGAAAGTAAGTGCTGAAGAAATACTCAGGGTGGTCAAGAGGGAGAAAGAAAGCTTAAAGGAGACCAGGCTGACCACATTCTGGCTGCAGACAAGGAATTAAAGGACAATTAGCCTAGCTTAACTGAATACCAAATACTGAATATATCCAACAGTTGTAGCCGGGCTAAATATTTAAAAGTTAGTCCTTAAACTGCTTTTCAGGATATCATCAAAGGGATACTTCTGCATGGAAAAATGCATTGCCAACTCAAGAAACAAAATACCAATGAGAAGTATTCTTTCCACTTTTGTAAAAAAAAATGTTAAAAAAAACCACCTGTCCTGAATTGAAAGTACCTCAAATGTCTCCTTCAGAATGAAATATCATAATAATTATCTGTTCAAATAAAACTAGCTAGTGAGAGATTTAATCCTCATTAAATTATTAATTAAAATTAAAAGCAGGACAAAGAAGCCCTGAAATATGGCAGTAAGGAAAGAGCAGCACTGCTTCTTGCAACTCATGTTTATTCAAGGAGGGCAGCAAGGGCAGTAGAGTTACTAGAGGTTATTGCTTATACAACACTAAATTGCAAAGGACAGAGTCACATGTTTTAAGCAAATGTGAGGATTCACATTTATGGTTGCTAGTAATGGGAGAAATCCTAGTACATGAGACTGTAGTTCAATTCATTTAATACATCTCAGCTTATTAACTAAACTGCAGTAAATGTCTAGAGTACAACTCTTCAAATGTAAGGTAAAATTACAGCAAAAGAAACATTTAAATCAATGAGTTTTACCAATGCCTTTCTTTACATTTTGCAGCTGATTGTAAGTGTGCAAACAATCAGTCACCACCACTTAGTGGACAGAAAGTAATGCATTACCCACATAGATCAGCTGTATTTGAGCTGTAGCTAAAGGTCCTTCACAATGCTTGCAACTCAAAGGGAAAGCTTGCTGGCCTGCACTCACAGGGAGCAACCCTACTGTCATGGCATATTGCCCAAACGTACTGGCACAACAGAGCAAACAAGAGATGGATGGTTAGCCAAGGTAACAGCCAAGTCTTGTAGATGCACTATGGTAAGATTCAGAGACCCTACAGTTACACTGTCAACTAGGAATAGTTTCAACCAAAGGCACTACAGTCGTGATTGCAGCTGTAGCTTTCTAGGCAGCAAGAACTGGAAAAGCAGTGGCATTACGCTTGCAGAGACACCCTGAATTTCAAGCCTCTTT